CAACACGTGGCCCAGCCATCGGAGCCTGGTGCGTGATATAATCGTGCTGAGCGGTTCACTCGCTCTTCCTGCACCAAATACGCGACGCTCACGCGGTGTTCCCACCAGACATGAGCTAAGCTGCGAAGGTAGCGATGATCGAACGTGACGAGTCTCTTCATGTCTGTCGACCTGATGGGCCAGGTTTCACAGCCATATAGAGTTGAACGGACGGCTGCGTTGTAAACTCTGCCCTTGAGGGCGAGAGTAATGTCGCGTCTGCACCACAGCTGGCGGAGATTGGCAAAAGCACCTCGAGCTTTTGCTATACGGTTCGTAACCTCATCTTCAATCCCACGGGTGCTAATATAGCTGCCCAGGTACTTAAATTCCTGAACGACTTCTAGCAGATCACCACCAAGCGTTAGCGCAGAGTTGGGTCCCTGCCAATCTTGGAGAAGTACTTTGCATTTCGATGGAGCAAAGCATAGCCCAAAACGATTGACAGCCAGTGCTAATCGGTTCAGTACTGTTTGACATGTTTGGGAGCTGTCACAGTTTAGGGCAATATCGTCTGCATACTCCAAGTCAAGAAGTCGCTCAACAGGGAGTAGCTCCACACCTTCTAGGTCGTGTCCAGCGAACGCTGTTTCCATGACTTCATCAATAGCGAAGTTGAAGAGGAAAGGTGACAGCGGGCATCCTTGTCTCACACCGCTGGTGATACTGAAGGGTGGCGAGAGTTTGCCATAAACCCTCACCCTGCCCGAACTATGTGCGTACAGAGCTTTGATAATGTATACATATTTATCAGGCACACCTTTCCTCAACAGACACTCCCAAAGGGCACATCGATCGACTGAGTCGAAGGCATCTTTTATGTCAAGAAAGGACAACGGTGGGTCGCCAATAAACATGGTGGTGCTCCAACACTTGACGCAATGTGAAGATGTGGTCGATGCAGCCCCGACCTCGACGAAATCCGGCTTGCTCTTCACGAATCTGGCTTTCACGAGTGCCAGTCAGTCTGTAGAGAATGAGAGAGGCAAGCAATTCAGAGGCAATCGAAATCAGACTGATCCCTCTATGATTGCCACATTCTAAACGGGAGCCTCCCTTGAAAATTGGGACAATGACGGAGCGGTTCCAGTCTGTCGGGACTGTCTCCTGCTCCCAAAGTTTTACTAGCAACTCGTGTAGATCATCTACTAGAGCAGGTCCACCGAACTTGAAGAGGGCTGGAGGAATTCTATCTGCTCCTGCGGCCTTATGCAATTTCAACAGCCTGATCTCACGTCCGACTTCTGCGCGTGAGGGCGGATCCAAGGAGACGGCCCAAGGAGAAGGGCGCTCAATGACCGAAGAAGAAAGCGATAACTCAGGTTGGTTAAATTGCATAGCAAAGTGTTCAGCCCAACGCTCCAAGCGTTTTGACAGGCTGTGGATCATCTGCCCACTCTCGTCGCGTATGGTCTCGCTAACACCAGGTCTCCTGCTGCTTGTTGCCCGTAGCAGACGGTATAACTTACGATGATTACCAATGGCAGCGGCTGTTTCCATTTCAGAGGCACGATGAGACCACCAGGTTTCGCGGTCCTTCTTTAGGCTAGCACGTAGTTTCGCCCTGAGATTTTTGCGAGCTTCATTGTATTCGCTTCCAGCCGGAATACGTCGGCGAGCATCCATAAGTTCCAGAGACTGTGTAGAGACCCAATGTTCGGTTTTGCAATTTGTTTTGCTACATGAAGACATGCCTGCTAACAGCAACGCTTGACGAGTATGCGACCAGTGATCTTCAACGGTGTTTAGTGGGCGCTTACTCAGCCCAGATGTCAGCGCATCTTGGTACACATTCAGAACATCTGGCTTCGCCGGATGGCTAGTGTCAATCCGTTCACATCGACGTCGCGGACGTCCACCGAAACGCACCAGGTCGGCACATACAAGTGCGTGGTCAGAGTCCACGCTCGTGCTCCAAATCGAGCGGCAGTTTTGGACACAGCCTCTCCAGCGGTAACTGATCGCGATATGATCGATTTGCGTCCATGGCTCGCCCGACGCTGGTGGCCGCCAAGTCACACTTTTGCGGGTGCTGTGTCGAAAGTTAGTGCTCTCGAAAAAGAAGCGAGCATCTTCACACAGCTGTAGCAATCGCTCACCATTATCATTACGGAAGCCTACACCATGTTGGTCGCCCAGATGAAGCTCATCAGAGGACAATTTTCCTACTTGGGCGTTTAGATCGCCAGCCAGCACCACAGTATCCGTGCTTCTTCTGTAACGAAGGAGCTCGTGAAGTTGCTGATGGAAATCATCTTTTACCGAATCAGTGCTACAGTTTGTAGGGGCGTAGGCCGCAATGACAAACTGGCACCGTTTTCCCCCGCGCGACTTCGTAGCACGGAACGAACCAGCTAATCTAACGGCGTACATCCTACTGTTTACTGGGATCAAATCAATCAGGGCAGCTTCAGCCCGGGGACTTAAAACAATGCCGACGCCAGCTTGACCGGCATTTGAAGCTGCATCATCGCCAGACAAGCGCAATGAGAATGTGCCGCCAGTGTCGCATGTGGGGGATCTCAGGGGAAGCACGGAGCTCGAACCTTGCAGGCGGGTTTCTGATAAACAGCAAATATCGATCGATAGGGTCTCTAGTGTGCGGGCAAGTGCTGCCTGTTGGCCAATCTGCAGCAAAGTGCGCACGTTGAGGCATGCCAATCTTAGCGAGACACGAGGACTCCAAAGGGAAACAGATGAACTGACGTTGTCCGCTTGGTTGAACATGGACTTGTCGACTGGATTGGAGCGAGGCCCTGCGATTGTGTGTGATTTGAAATTAGAAGACAAGCGACTATTGAAGTAAGCTGGGGGAGGGCCAAGAATTGGGGGATTGAAAATGGGGGGGATATAAGTAAAGTTGGAGCGGGACAATAAGGATGCAGAAGCGCAAGAAGGGGTATAAGAAGACGGGAAGGTCTGAGCAGTAGCATCCAAACCCCTATCCACCCTGCTCGATGCAGCAGATAGGGCACCGTTGATTATCCTCTGCGACGGCCAGAGCATCAAGAAACTGTTGTAGGAAAGGTTCATTGTATTGCGTGGGCAGAATGCTGTCAGGTTGCCCAGGCCTAGACAGGAGAACGATTAGGGTTCTCAACCAAAGCCTTTGGTTCAAAAACCTTACCGCAAGGCAGCGGGTTTTGGCACTGGACTACAGAGTCCGTTTTATGAAATGAGGAGCCACCCCCATTCCAACCCCCAACCTGGAGGACCAGGAGGCTGAGTTTGTCTGGCCTCTAACCATTGACCAATCTGGTATGAGTGGCTCTAAAGGTGCAAAAAAAGCACCACCCAGTATAGCACAATGGATCACTGGGGCACGCAAACCATCTCACCACGGTAAGGTCCAGCCTCATTGCGATGGAAGCACGAACCAAGCTTAACGTAATTCGAAATAGAATAGGAGGGGGTTGGACACAGCACAGTGGATGAGCAGCGTGTGCGGGCCAATAAACATAAGTAGATGGCATACGAAGCTACAATGAGAGATGACCAATGAAAAGACGTCATCGAATAGTCTTGTAGACTACAGAGTAATAAATAAATAATAACAGTTAGCTGTATGCCGTAAGGGCGTTTCACTGCCACGTGACCACTACCGGTTGCGCGCGGACTGAGTGTACTACGAGGACGTCCACTCCAACGCGGATTCGAAGCAGCGAACTTATGATTGAAAACCAGACGCGCAGACCACTCGGCCACCGACCGACTATCTGAGTTTGACCGCTGCCCGAACTTGGCCCTGTATCACAAAGAACTACTCGATCCATAGTAACCAATGAGTTGCTTCTGAAAAAAGCATGTCGGTAGAGTCCCCATGCTCTCGACACAGACCACCAAGCGTTGTCCAATCATATGCATGACTCGATGAGCGCTGGAAATTCATGGACTGGTCAGTTGATCTATGAGTCCCTTGCGTAGCTGAACCTCAAGGTGATAAGTAGTCGAGACGTTTAAGCAAGAGGATTGAGCAGAAATCCAACGAATTTCGGGACGAGGGTCATAGGCAGTAAGTTGTATAGAAATTCGCTGACCCGACGAAAGAGACAAGGGTAGAAAGATGCACAGACATTCATGATGACAATGCGCACCCGTCGGAAAGATAGCAGTGCCTCCACTGCGGTCTGTACCGAGCACTTGTCAGAAGAGATCAGTCTTGCAGAAACCTCTTGCGCGAAAAGCAAACGGAGCGCATAAGGATAAAGAAAATTTCAATTGATGAGGCAATACACACCTACGCCTCGCAATTGTAGTGTGGTCGCTTAATATGTGTGGAAATCCAATTAGGCAAATGGATGGCTTGCCGAACAACCTACTTGTGGTGTCAGCTGGGTAGTTCGGTGGCAGTGTTTCATGGTTGGCTTTTGCCTGGTAAATATTTTTCGTACAAAATCTACATATGCTTGTCTAACAATACTAATGTGGTGGCTCTGACTCGTCAGTACATAAAATCACTGTCTCCTGCTTCACACCGATGGAGCATAGTATCCCAGCAGCCTGTTGTGGAAATTGTGTGGTGGAATGGACCCCAGTTGGGCAACTGACCGAATAAAACGCATTTGAACCGAACACCGACTCCCAATGGGTGCGATTTCATAAATTCGCTCCGTTGCCTTACGGGTAGGGTATTTGGCCAAAGGCCCGCCGCCCTCAGAGGCGTTTCGGTTTGAGTAACCGGGTAGTATCGCGCCCTCTGACGATATCACGAAGTGTTCTGTGTTGTATTCGGCTTTCTTCTACGGTAGCTGTATTTTCCATTGTTTCCCATAGCTTCATGTCTAGTTGTAGACTTATATATATATATATATATATACATATATATATATATACATATATATATATATATATATATATATAAACACGTGAAATATGCAGAAACTTAACCGATCACCATTCAATGGAATAATCTAGGGACATTGCTCAAAATAGACAGGAACACACGGTGAATGACGGCATACCTGCTTGATTTCCATCAAAAGTCGCAAAGCTGGTTGATAGTCGGGTGGATCGGCCTCTAAACTGGAGCGAAGCAAGTCCCAGAAGGCACGATGCAATGTTTCTTTCACCGTGTGTTCAAGGCTGAGGGAGGTGGTGGGAAACGGATTTGTACAGAAACAAAATATAAGTGCACGTGTGGAAAGATGCAAACTCCAAAAAAAATCATATTTGCCTGACGAATGTGGAAGGTTTTTTCAAAGTCACATGGCTGCTTGATAACTCTCTAACTCAAAATGCATTCAATCCTTCATGTAAGTGCATACGACAAAGTTGATCATATTATTCTCTAACAAATATCCTCGGTATTGTCTGAAAAGGACCACATCTTGCTTGTGAGGTTAATAAAAGATCGCTAAATGTACCGGCTTAGTAAAAGATTACCTTAGAGTAAATAAGAATTCTACCGTATATAAAGATATTCTTCCAAGGTCATAACCAAATCTTTTCGGTCATTACAATGATTCACTAAAAACCACATTTTCTTGATGCACGTCCAAGATCATATGCAAGATTGACCGTGTCACCCTGTGGTTGTCAAAGGGTAAAATGATGTGGCCCGCGTAGTGAAGTAAACGCTCCACCAGTGTGTCATATTAGGTTGTATGTCTGACAATAGTGCGTTTGGGTAAAGCATAGATTCCTCAAAAGCAATCCAATCAGTACATCGACTTCTCAGATATCATGTCCGGCACTCTGATGATTACTGATTGGAAGCAGCAAGGAGAGATATCGCTGTGTAGCCTTATCATTCAGGTACCTATACCCGTTAGTTTGGATTGCGTTCGATATGTTTTATATCGGCAGTGGTTGTCCGAAGTTATTGAATTCCGAAACCGAGTTTGTCGCAATTAGAGTGTTACGAGCATAAATGCCCACAACACGCGCACCAGCAGTTATCGTATTTCAACATTTTAGGACAAAGAAGTGGAAACACAGTAACAAGCAGTACCCTGGTAAGAATGCCTAACCGTGGGTTGGGACGGATTGTCGCTTATCAATTATGGGGATAATATCCAGCCCGTCTAGGCAAATTTCAAGGAAGATCCGTGGCATATCAGAGTATGAGTGAAGTTGAGGCATATGGTTAAAAAGGCGCGGTGGTCAATGAAGGGAACGTGCCATTTGTAGCAATGTGGTGGAGTAAGGTCCACGGGGTTCACTGTAACTGAAGGTAGCTTTGTGTACAAACAGCCGATGAACAGCGCATAAGTGCAACATTCATCATTTGCAGCGGACCCAGAATTCAACCAAAACTTAGCAACTAATTGGGTTTCTAGAGTATAAAAAGGCAAGTTTGCGCATTTGTTTTTTGGCACCTTGAGACACTTCCGAGATAGCTGGACCGAGCTAAGGCGTGCTAGGATCGTAGCAGGAGTATCTTTGATAACATCAGGATTGCAGTCTATAGGTGTAAATGCGGCAACCACGAAAAAGAAGCGCCTATTCGATAATCATGACGTCATCAAAGGGGGTTTAGACAGGTGGCCATTCGGGGTGAATCAAAGATTGAGCTCGATAAGCATGGGCATGCAGATTTGCACGATGTTTGTTGGATCGGAAAAAAGAACAAACTCGTAGAAAAACCGTGAGGATAAGCTATGTGTGTATAGCTGCTGTGGAAGTTGTTCAGTATAAAAAGGAACAAAATTTTGTCGGAAACACGGTACATGTTTAACCTCTTCGAGTTACTGAGTCTGTGTCACTCAGTTCCGCAAGGACAGCTGCCTCGCATTGCTGGTCGCTGATTGATCTATGGTGATCCCCTTACACTTCTGTCATGTAAACTCTACACGGCAGTTGTACGACAGATTGATCAGCTCCGATCTGCCACCCTTTGCGGCTTGAGTGAAAGTGAACTTCCCGGCAGGTCTTGTTTCCTTCGGGCCTTTTGGGGGCTTGAAAGGTAGCAGCAGTACGCCGGTGCGCGGCACGGACGCTTTGCTGCCGTGCAGCTAACACCAGTCGCCCATGGACTAAGGATACTGCGAGGGCAGCCCAGTTCTCTACGCAGACTCGAAAACGCGCTCTCGGATCGCAAAGTAGGCTTGTGATCCTTAAGGTTTTCGAAGGATTGAAGTGGAAAGTTACAATACACTGAACCGGGTTCCTTATCTATGTCATTTTACACGCATGTTAACGTATTGTACCAAGATATTAGCGTGGCGCATTTTCGAAATCGCTTGCAGTGCTTTCAAGTTAGCGAGGTTTCCTTCATATAGGCATCAAAATAGAACAGAAGGTGGTGCTCGACCACTTTCATTGGACTGTCTGTCGCTTATGCTGTGGGCTTCCAACCGGTGGCCCATTGGCTAACGTCACATGACCTATGAGAGTGTCAAGGACGCCAAAACAGCGTTCTTGGCCTCACTAACTTGAAAGCACTGCACGCGATTTTGAAACTGTGCCACGCTAAAAGCTTGGTACAATGCGCTAACATGCGTGTAAAATGGTATAGACCGATATGTAGCCCGAAAGCATGATGACGCGATTGATGTGCAGGCGTCAGCGGTCATTCTACCTAAACCATAATTTCGCAATGATCAAACAACCAGAATTGATGTCTCGTTGTGAACTCATGATCGTTAACCACTCACACCAAGCCGAAGTCACATGCGTGATCAGTCGCTGCTAATCCTGACAGCTTGAAGAATTCTCAGTTAATTTTCATCTTAAATAACTATGATCCGAGCACTGAAGTGCGGTGGATTTAGTTGTCACGGCTCACGTCACCAGAGTAATGATAAAAATAACGGTAAGAAAAGGAGGTTGAACGTGAGTAGAACACAAAGTAAATGGAATCAAGAAAAAAGGTGTAAAACTAATAAGTGAACCGACCACTGGTTGGTTCAGCGGAGCTGTACGCCACCGGGCGCATCTCCAGGTTGCGGATCGGGAATGCCCACCTTGAGAAGGTAACTGTGAGTAAGTCTCGGCTGTTCGCAAGCGAGATGAATAAGCAGTCGCGGACACACCGGAAACGTTCTAGGGCGTGGTGGGGGGTTCTGGGCTGGACATCTGGTTTCTCATTAAATACCACAAGCGTTCGTAAGACGCTAGGTCGAAGCCAATGTGACCGGTTATAGGTTCACTGACCACTTACTTCTGATCTCAGGAGTGAGTACTTAACGGAGGGTGGATGAACAACTTCGACGACCACCGGCTTCTATGAAGGCGTATGAGCCACCCGACTGTCAACGGCCTTCGTGCTTCGCAACAAGTTCGGTAGGCCAGGGAATTTTGGCCTCATTGCTGCTTCTCTCGGGCTCTTTGGGCAACCTGAGTAGTTTACCTCAACTCGAAAGCCGTCTTACCTCCATTAGATAGCCGGCACCCAAGGGTTCGCGATATATGGCAATCAACCAGATGACTTGCGGATTAGGTCTTTTATCACTCAAGGATTCGGGTAGGTTTCCTTAAGTCAATTCTCTTCCTCGGTTTGGGCAACCGCGAAGCACTGTGCTTATATAACCTACGGATCCATGTCTCAACAATTCTTCGCTAGCTCGCTCGCTCTATCTGCTTTCATTCTCTCGAATTACTCTCCTCGGCCGAGATGCTGGCGGGTGAACCTGCCAAACCACGTTTTACCGCACCATCGTGTAATTACTTTACTCCATCTTTGTTCAGCCCCCATTCTTAGACTTCCTCTCCGTTTCGAGTTCGCAACACCGTGTCGCCTTGGGCGAACGTTTTTGCCATACGGATCAGAAGCCTAGCTAAGAGGGTGCGTGAAATGGTGTTGACAAGCCATTTATGGTGCCCAGTTCCCTATTCGAGCTTGTGGAGTTACCCGTCACCGAAACAGTGCATTTCCGCCGACTCGTTGTCGCTGATGGACAGACGCCGCTTGATCCCATCGGATTCCAGACACAGTGAGAAACGCCAATACCTTGGTCGAGAGTTGCGCAGGAGTCTGCGAACGGACCGCGAAGCTTGGTGGTGTGAACGTGCTAGGGAGATGGAGCTTACTAATCTCTGTGGTAATACCAGGAAACTCTTCCATCTCATTCGAGTCACCGAAGGTGTTCGATCTGGTATAAGTGAAACAATATGCGAAGAGGATGGCACCTTAATCACCAATCTTCAACGACGGTTGGAGTGATGGGCCGAACATTTTGGCTCGCAGTTTTCTTGGCCCCCAGCTCCATCTGCTACCTCTGGCGCTCGCGCTGGGATCGAGTGGTCTACCCCCACAGACCCTCCCTCTTCCCAGAAAATCGAGCAGGAGCTCCGGCACATGAAGCGTTATAAAGCCCCCGGCCCTGATGGTCTTCACCCAGCTCTATTTAAAGATGGTGGCGCATAGCTGATCCGAGAACTCACCGCTTTGTTCTCGAAAATTTGGTCGAAAGAGAAAGTTCCATCATCTTGGGGTGAATCGATAGTCGTCCCCATCTTCAAAAAGGGCCTGCGCACAATCTGCTCCAACTACAGAGGAATAAGCTTAGTCCCCGTCGTTTGCAAGCTGCTAGTGTCCATCATACTTCGCAGGCTATCCCCAACACGCGAATCGTTGCAACGAGATGAACAAGTTGGGTTTCGTCCTGGTCGCGGCTGCATCGATCAAATCTTCACACTTCGCCAGATCCTCGAGCTCCGCCATGTGTATCAGAGGCCAACGATTGCTGTGTTGCTGGATATCTGTGCAGCCTTCGATTCTGTCGATCGTACAGTACTGTGGCAGTGCCTTCTGAGAAATGGTTTCCCCGAGAAGTTCGTCTCCATACTGCGCGCTCTATATAGTCTGACCTCGGGCAGGATTAGGGCTTATGACATGCTTTCGCCTACCTTTGTGGTCTCCAGGGGAGTTCGACAAGGATGCCCTATCTCTCCGTTCCTATTCAACTTTGCCATTGAGGATGTCTTGAAGAACCCTCTAGGTGATTCGTTGAACGCTGGCGTTGAGCTCCTCCCAGGTAGTCGAGTTGTTGATTTGGATTATGCTGATGATATCCTCTTGCTGGGTGACGATCTACAGGTCGTCCAACTTGCACTAAACCGCATGGCGATTGAAGCATCAAGGTACGGTATGTACTTTTCGCCATCCAAATGCAAGGCTCTCCTTCAACACTGGCAAGTGC